AATGCAATACATTGTTAGCCATTTAGCTTTATTATTATTTCAACACAGTGATCGTCGTAAAGCACACTTTGAAATTGTACTACGAAATACTCGACTCATAAACGTCGGATATTGAGCAAATAGTTTTTGTTCATTAATAATAATTGTTGTTTTGATGAGCGGTCCTACTTCCTACTATTTGGCTCTTCAAAGATTTCTTCAAAGAGATTCTTATTTAAACTTTATGTATTTAAAAACATGTTTTATTTATTAGTTTGGGTACAATCAAAGTATGAATTTATAACAGGTACCGATTATAATTTTCTATAGAAAAGTATTTTGCTAAAATAATAAAAGTAAAAATATGCTAAATGTTAAAAGCACTTATTTTAATTTATTTTTGAATTCTCCAAAAATACTATTTCAAAAAAAAAGTTAATTAATTAGTGGTTTTTTTTATAATAGTAGTTATTAAAACAGTCACTATAAGTCTGAATATGAAATATTTAAATATATAATTATAACCGTTAGGTTTTATTTTTATCTTACTCGTTTCATTGAAAATTCAAAACAACCTCGAGTAACCCAGCAACTCCAGTTAGTTCGATCATATACTGGCAAACTATCAATTTTATAATTGCACATAATATTATAATTTTATTATTTAAACGGTCCGATTAGTGAGATCCGTGATAATATAATCGGTGAAAAAATGTATTACTAATTGGTAAGAATTAACAACTATAATCGCACAATTAATTAATATCTTTTGCATTATAAAACCTATTAAAACACATTATATTGCCTATATCAGCCTTTCGTATTATCACGGTAGTTTACCTTGAACGCCATGACTTACAAGGATTAAGGAATACCTACCAATTTTAAATGTGTACCTACCTACGATGTTTTCATCGCATAGACACGTCTGATTACTATTATTATTAATATTACCTATTACCGTTTACTTTGTTTTTTTTGTTTATTATAGGTTTGAATTCTATCCAATGTCGACTGAAATATATGCGGTTTCTTTTTAATCTATTTCATTGATGTCTGATATATTTATTTGTACTATTAAAGCTGTACTCACTATTTTCGCCTTAAACTATTGATAAGTTTTTTTTGAAATTTTAACCGGAATATATTTAAAACTTAATTTGAGCACTAGTCAATTAATTCTAGTTACAAAAAAAAAAAAAAATGAAATTTCTGTTAAAACCACTTCTGTATTGTTCGGCACTAAGTGTCGTTATTTTCTAGATTTATCAAGTTGGTACCTAAACAAATAAACAATAAACATACACGATAAAGCCAAGTAATAAGTTCATAAGAATACATGAAAATTAATATTATTTCTTAAAGTTGATCTTAATTTGATTTACGTACGTGTATTTTTGTATCTTATTGTTGTGTAATAGATTTTTAAGACAATTTGTCACGTGCCACGTCCGTTAGTCTGAAAATGGAATACGAAATATGAATGAGTCTGTGATTACTACAATATTATAACTATAATAATTATGATTCTACCGAAACAATTGTAGAACGTAAGTAGGATTCTAGGTCTAGTCCTAGGCACGGTAACTATAACCAGAAGGCAGAAGATCTTTTCTACATAAAACCTCTGAAAAATAAAACTATTATAAATATTAACATAATTTCAATAGCCATTTGTAATAATTTAAAATACGCTGCACGTTAAAAAAAAATCCACGATCGAAAGGAATATGGAATTATATTACCTATGCTAATTCTGACGAAAATTGACCTCCTGAATAATCTATTAAGACAGGTTATGTAAAACGGTTGAATGAAATCCGCTCTTCGGCCTCGTCAAAACTATATAATAATATGACCGCGTTATAATACGGATCAAGTTTTAATGGATAAAGTCATAAAGATGAAGGAATAAATTACACTCGATTCAATATGACATACCTATTGGTATAAATGTATAATTATAGTATAATACACTAGCGATATTAAGAACTAATTAGTAATTGCTAATGATATAGATAATAATAATATTATGTTACGTCTATACAGTCAACAACAATATTGTAGTATTGTACATCGAGAGACTGCTTTAGTCTAGGTCAGGTCTAGGTCTTGGTCCCCACTATAAGATTTTGGAAAGGGCCAAATATTATTTTTGAAAATTATAGTTGCAGGCCATATGCAGTGAATAAATTTAAATTTACGCATAATATTGACCTAAAAATAAAAATGGTCTATACGTTGGGCGTATTTTCCCCCCTGGGTATTAAGATTCCCACTTCCTAGTTACATTTTGAATAATAATAGTTAAAGGTTATAAAAGTTTAAAAAAATGTTATTTTAATATAAGTATATATTTTATTTTATTAACTCAAGTGTAGACTGTTGGATTTTCGAATGTAAAATTCAATTTTAGTGCTGGCAGCACAACACATTTTTGTTAAATGTCCACACATTATGGACGGCTGGTTGGTAATGACTAATGAGAATTCCTAACCGTATATCTTTCGCAAATCACATCATTATTATTAGTTGATTTACATTTTTTGTGAAGCCTATATGTAATATAACCACCAATCACATATTATATTATGTGTGTACAAAAATTATGTGTTTAATACGTACCAAACGCATTTACCAACACAAAGACATATTATAAGCTATAATTATTGAAAACGAGACTTATCTCTGCACCAACGCCATATGGTATGCGACACTTCCTCACGCATTTGTTTCACTCCTGTAAGCCACTTCTTGTAACCACTTCGACCACTGCAGTTGGTATCTACATGGAACGAATGAACTTTGCTTCTCCGAGGATTCGTGTACAGTCATGCCTCGAAACGGAAACAGATCAGACTACATTATAATATTATATGCATTTATATACAGGGCGATTCACCGAGCATGCTTACACCCATCATTTGTCTTCAATAATGCATTATTATCATAGTTATTCGAAATCTGATTTCTGACGTTTTCAAATATAGGTACTTATTATAGTGACTACTCGCGCGCTTATTATTGAATCATCGTGTGTATTATGGTCCCCGTCTATATTTCGACCATATAATAATAACATAAGATCATCATACGAGTCAGTCAGCGTACACAGAATTTTATCATTCCATCGGCTAGTGAGACCGGTTATTACATTAGCTATATAATGTACCATGTACGTGTACAATATATGAACCTACTGCAAGTTTATGGGCAAAAAAAATTACACACGTTACCCCTTTTGCATGAAACCGCATTTTCGAACCGATCTCGACTCGTCGCACAATGTATTTAGGTAGGTATAAGTATTAAACAACAATTTCATTGGGGTCGATGATTATATTTTGTTTTGTAAAGCCGGGGACGCACAAAGTCTGGTTTTTGTTTTGTTTCTGTTCTTAAAAACAATTTATATTGTCCCGCCAGTGTTGGGACAAGTTGAGTTTATATGTTTTCTTTTTTTTTCTTGTCCATAATAGTTGTGTGTAATGTGTATATACTATTACATATAATATCAGCGCGATCTCCTCGGGATAAGTGAACGTGAACATGTCATGTTTTTTCATTCGAGTAGTATCTTACTGTATACGGTATATAATATACCTCTCATATTGTCTGACTGTCTGAGTATACTCCATATAAATCATATCAATTTTTGGCTCTACATTTAAAAATATACAATTGTAATAAATATTTATACTTACATGTCTATATATTATTATATTATAAACACATAGGGGCCCAGTATTCATATGTTTATGAAATTAAATAAAATAAAAAATAAAAAAATAAATACAACATTAATTTCGTGTCTCAGTATAAGTAGTAGACATTTAGTTTCATTAATCTCGATATCTAAGTGAATGATCATTCAGAACTTATAAGTTATATAAATCTAATTGCTCTAAAGCACAATATTTTGAATTATTAAAATCCAAAACTTTTCTTACACATTACTATACCATCATTGATACCATTGATGAACTTGAAATATGGTGACAAATCAATATATAATTATTAGTTTTTCTTTCAATTTGATTTAAATATTAAATTTAATAGCAACGTAGGTACTATTGATAACTTTTGTATTCAAAAATATAGTATTCAAGTTTGACAACAATTATCATTGGTCAGTGGTTACTGGCTGCCTGACGCACTGCATTGACTTAAATATTAATGTACAATGTACCGTATTGTGTTATTTCATCCGGTTTAATATCGTAATAATTATAATATACAAAGCTTGATTATACTTCTTTTTTTTGCACACATAGAATATTATTGAAATTATTTTATTAGATTGAATGATTAGTTGAATGCATTTTTAAAATTTGTTTAATTAAATTTGTTTATTTCAATGAAACATAGTTAAATTTAAGAGTCTTGGTTATGAGATATAATATATTATAAATTATAGTCTAGTAGGATATTCTGATAGGATGTGCTTGGCCAAAACCTGAAAGTACCATCACAACGGTCACCAATACCATTGTTACCTGATATTTATCTAATATAATATACATACCTAGGTATTATTTATTTTACATTTTTTTTGTTCTGGAATCCTAGTTTTATTTACATTCAACTAACACAATGGGAGTGCTAAAATATCATGATGGATGATGATTGATGAGCAATGTCATATAATGTATCACTACTCATACTCTCACTCTGTTTTTTATGCACAATAGTTTATGTACATTATAATACAAACACTAATAGTACTATAAGTACATTCATCAAGTATTAAATAATGTATTAGGTGTAGATGTATTTACCAATAAAAAAAGTAGGTAGGTACTTATACCTTTTGTCAATTCGAACTTATTGGACTTGATTAGGCAACGTGAAATCAATATTATTATTATTGGTTAAATATTTATTTTATAGTTTTAAAATTTACCATTTAGATTTTAGACACTGTGATTGCATAATATAAATATATGAACTCAGCGTGAACCAGCTGAGTACGTTATACGTAATGATTTTGTTGTAATATTTTTCATTATTATTGTTCACAGGATGCGAGGCTTTTTTATCGGATTTGGATAAATTGCCATGCATACAAATTGGAGACTTTAAACTCCGGTTAGAACTGGAAGACGAATTGTCACCAGAGTTATTGGAAGTGGCCGTCAAAGAACTCAGAGAAACGCCCGAGCAGCAAGAAAAATCGATTGCTGAACTGAAGGCATTACTTGAAAGTAAGCAAATTTTACACGTCCTCTAAAGGTACGTTTTCCCTCCAGCGTCTGGACGCGGCGTCAAGCGTCACTACCGGTCTGGACGTAGGTCGCGTCTAGACGCCGCGTCCGACGCAGCCATGCTGTTCTCGCGTCTGACGTTGCAGGGAAACCGTACCTTAAGACACTATTTTATAGGTTTGAAATAAAAATATAAATTAAAACTAAAGTCATACAACTTGTTCTGTTAACGTTTATTAGAACAATTATTATTGTGGTTTAGTTTTTCTTACACGACAATTACAATAATATTATGTAATAACCGTCACTCCAGACGTGCAGCTAATGTAAACGGACCACAAATATGTTTTTAGAGAGACACAGATTTCAGGGACATCCGTGGTTGTGGCATGTGTAGGAATAATTAAACAATTTATCAACGACACTTATATTATTGTATGATATCATTAAAAATAAACGTATGATATAACGTATAAGGTAGGGTAAACACAAATATGAAAAAAAAATGAACAATGCCATAGCTCATTAAAACCTAGATTTTAAATTTAATCCATTTTCTCACAGTCATCACACGTGGTATGTATTATTATGTCATACATAATAGTATAATTTATAATTATACTCATCGGCCATCATTAAGCCTTAGCATATATATCAGAATATCCGATGCGACATGAAATTTAACATGAAAACATTTTAGTCACTTTACTCGAATAGTTATAAATAGCATAATGACATTGAGGAGAGTGATAAATATTTTTACCCAATTTAAGTAGATATACGCAGAAATAATGCATACATTGGTATTACCTATTAGGTATTGCATAAGTACATATTTTAATAATATACTATTGGCAGTTAACAATTAACACACTTGTTGCTCACCTAATACTTACTGCGCTTATTAATTCGTTTAAAGTCCGCTACACAACTAAAAATTAGTATAGCAATACAATCCATATAGATATAATATTTTGTTCCACGAACCGCCTGCAGCGATAAAATGATGAAAACAACACGAGATAATAATAGGCGATTTTCTGTATTATGTCATTGCCATCGGTAATGTTTTTTTTTTTTATATTATGTTTTTTGTTCTTACACTGACCTATATTTGTATTTTATTGTATATACATCAACAGTTTCCTATTTATGCATATGTTACATTATTCAAATGAACAAAAATAAGCAGTGTATATGTTATTGTACATAAATATGGTAGGTATAGCTATAGGTGATTTGGCTATATTAATTGTCTACGTTTCCTACTTATATCTATTATTTGTTTCTGTTTCTTCGTTATTGATTTATATAGTATCAATTATATACAAGATTAACTAAATAACTCAGTCCCGCTCTTGAAAATTAAAAAAATGGTTCAATTATAATGAAATATAAATAGATAATGATTCAAATGCCTCAACGAAAAACTGATATGAAAAAAGTCATTATTAGGTATCCAATACGTATTATTTATGTCAATTTCTCAAGTGTTTCCAATTTAAATTTGTCGAATATAAATGCTAAGATGTATGATGTATCTATATGTATCTATATATATATATATACCCGTACACAGGGTGATTTTTTAGAATGCTCACCCCTATTACTCCTTTAATATTATATTTATTGACATACCTATTTTTATAGCGTTTTTGAGTATATACTTAAAGTCCATATTTTCGAATTCCTGATATTTGTTGCACCTACTATTTAATTAGTGGCCTGTGGCGATACAAACTTCTGTTTTTCAAATGAGAACTTTCTGTTTTGATGCAAATTATTTAGCAGATAATTTTCTTAAAAATTTTGATTATCAAAATCAAAATGCTAATGAATAGTTTCTGAGGTATTAAAATTTCTATGCTAAGGACGATAATGCTTAAAAATTGTTTTGAAAAATATTTACTATGTTATGTAGTAATAGATGTAATATTAATTCTACTTGGATCAGTTTTAAAAAAAATTTTATTGTTAGATCATCAATAGTAATTACTAACATTTTCGAATCACCTGAGCCCTCATCTCTACTTAACCTATTACCATATAGACATAGTACACACAATTAAATTACTCAAAAACTACTCGTTCAAACTTTTATTTAGATTATAAAATATAGATATGTTAAATTTTTCAAAAAAAATATCTGCTTAATAATTAAAAGTGAAAAAGGGGGGGTTTTTATTTGAAAAATAGAAGTTTGTATTGTCACAGGAGCATCCTTAAGTGGTACAAAAAATCCCAAGTATTTGTAAATATTGTCTTCAAATGTATTTAAAAATTCTAAAAATCAAAATTTCAATAAACGTATAATTTGAGCATACAAATAGTATGAGAATTCTTAAAAAATCACCCTAGTTATATGTAAATATATTATATACTATATATAATACGCCGTATCATCAGATTTTTCCAGGAGTCAAGCACCCTTCCTAGGTTCATCTCATTCTAATTTCTATGGCCATAAGTCATCATAACCATTCAATCAATCGAAGCGTCGAGCCCTTAATAATGTCTACTCAAACTCAATGTCAGTTATTTTTCCTGTGTATAAGTATCTATTAACTATTTCATTAAAATTATAGCTATCATACTATATAATATATATCAATATATCATATTATAAACATTAAACATGTAACTGCCGCGAGTCGTTAATATGTTTAAATGAAAATGTATTAAATGATAAATGTTGTGTAAAAAATATTATACAAAGGAACTATATTCACCTATACTTTCGCTTTAACTTGTTATTAGATTAATTAAAATAAAAAAATAAAATGCATGTAAATTTATTATAATATGGGATCCGGTTATAATACAAAACTAAAATATTACCAAAGATAAATTATTCATATTATATATCATAATGTAGCGTGATGATAATACAAAATATACTTCCATGTGCACATATCCTTAATCAATAATAAATTAAATTACCATACTATACTGAAATTTATATAATCTAAATTTATTTGTTTAAATTTGACATTGTTGAATAATTAAATATTTTAATGGCATTAATACCTAACTGAAATGGTTGGTTTTGCCAACCTAATACGCCTCATATGATTAATCAAGGATACTTAACTATATCCTATGTGTCTATACGTATAAGTATCATAGAAATTTATATTGTATACTTATTTAAAATATAATAGTTCTTAAAAAAAAAAAATAACATTCAATTTAGCTAAAATTGTAAATGAAGAAATACAATTGAAACCCAAATGGACATGTATTTTTTAAGAGTGAAACTTTGACAAAAATACAAAAGAATGAAGATTGAAAAGTCAACTAAAACAAATACGATATGATGTAGTGCGTAAAGACTATTTTTTTAGTTATGTTTAATTTTTTCCATCATTCAATTAAACTTACACTTATAAAAAAAAATGTGTTTAATAATGTTTTTTAAATATCTACCTACTTTAAAGAATAGAGAAAACAATAAAATATAAATTAACATCCATTTTTAGTTTCATTTAACGTCTAATTATGTAATTTAAATTTATAACTACATTTATTTTATAGATAATTAATTAATATAGCATTTTCTAATTACCTACATTATGTTTCATAAAAACCACAAGAAACAATATAGATTAAATATATACATCGGAGTAGGCACTATATCTAAAGACATGTGGAAATATTCACAGACGAAAAATCAAACAATGAAACTAAAACATTTAAAACCCCATTTCGCGTAATTTAAACTTATATTTCGCAAACATTTTATAAGCTATAAAATTGTTTTTAGTTAAAAGTACTTAATAGTGTACCCATATAGCCAAGTGATATTGGTTATTCAATTAGGTATTTATAAAATAAGTGTTATTGAAAGATTATATTCTGCTTCTTAGTTCTCGAGCTATAAATAAAAACTTTTTGTTAATATTGTTGTTATTATTATATTTTAGAGGACAATGATCTGAAAGTTCCCATAGACAACAGAGCGTGGCTTATTCGCTTTCTTCGTCCAACGAAATACTATCCGGAAAGCGCTTACAAGCTGGTAATTTATCGGTCACTGGAATCGATTATATAATGTTTTGTCAATTACAACAATTTGATATACGACTTAATTTCATCGACAGATCAAACAATACTATCAGTTCAAAGTGAAACACGCGAATATATACAATGGCCTTTCACCCAAGACTGAGAAAAACATATTCGATCACGATATACTACATGTTTTACCTAAACGTGACCAAGGCGGCCGCAGGATTTTAGTTATCGAATTAGGAAGTAAGTTACTTATTGTTAATAATATTCATCTTGTTGAATTAATTAATAAATAAATCATTAAATTTAATTATTAATCATTATAATTGATAACCAGGTACCCAAGGGAAGATTATAATTTAAAATTTTGTTAAGTACTCAAAACTAGTGACGATAAAATATATAACTCGGTGTAATGAATTTTGAAAGATTAAAAAACATTTTAACATTTTTTTTTTTTATTTTACTTTCTAAATACAGCGATAAATGTAAAGATTTTACAAGAATGAGCTTTTTGTGCCAATAAAAATATTTTTAAGAAGTACAAATTCTTCAATCTTAAACTTTGGGTTCTTCTATTTTTATCTAGTTGGTATTTTGGAGTAAATAATTCCCAGTATTTTTTTTTAAACTATTGCAACAACATTTTTGACACTCTCAAATTTGTTTTAATTCAATGCTATAGGTAATAGCAGACTTTCTAATTTTCACCAAATAATAAATATATTTATTTTATATTTTTCTAGACAGAAAATAATTTTAAAAACATTTTTATGAGTTTTTTTTTAGAGCAATATAAAAATATTTTTAATTTTAGAATTATCTTAGTTCTTTTTCAATAATTCTTTGTAAGCATTTACTTCCTGTCAAAAATCTTGCAAATATAATACAAGGTTTCTCGTGAGATTTGCTTATAAGTTATAACTATTCAAAAAACATCAAAAGTGCATAATATATTGGCAAATTTTTCTTCTTTAAATATCCTCAACAAAAATGGTGACGCACCATCTCTGCTCAGAATCATTTTTCGTGTATAATAATTTATCATTGTATTGTTTATCGTTGTAACACAACCATTACAATGATCTATTCAATGGCGGTTAACTCAAAATCTACTGAACAGCAAATCGAGTTCTCCATTTTTTAATTATTTTAAATTCGTATGAATAGATCTTAATACAATTTTTTACGAGTTAAACCTTAAGAAAAAAGTCACCACAACGTATCACTGTAAAGCATATATTTGAAACTTTTTATTGACCCGTACCTGTTTATTTGGTTTTCCAGAGAAATGGAAGCACAAGAAGTGCACGTTGGACGAGGTGTACAAGGGAGCTGTGATATTTCTCGAAGCTGCCATAATGGAACCAGCCACCCAAGTAGCTGGAGCTCAAGTAGTATTCGACATGGATGGTTTGTCGCTGCAACAGACTTGGCAGTTTAGCCCGCCGTTCGCAAAGCGGATTGTCGACTGGCTTCAAGTACGAATCTTGACATCTAAATTACGAGTGTCACCCAAGCAAACATACTATACTATACATAGGCTTGTTAAATCACATACAAATACAATAAAAAATAATAATTTACCATGATGAAAAATAACAATTACTTTTGCGAGGTATGGGTGTGCAAGAGCTGCAGGCTGTAGCTTTCGTAATGCAAAGATCATATTATGTGTTATTGGTATTGGGAAAGAATCAAAAAATAATTTAAACAGAGAATTTTGTACAAATTTATTTATAATTATATAATAATATAGTACATGTGTTACATATACATTATACATACACACACACACACACACACACAAATATATATATATAGCACAAATATAGTTCGATAATATTATTAATCAAGTTTGTGTTTGACTTATAAAGTCACGACGGTATAATGTTTGTATTTATAACGATATAATTACTTATTATGTATTATTAATTTATTAATTTAGAAAAATATGTGTATAACCTATATAAGTAATTTATAAGTAGACGGCATAAAAAAACCAATATGTTTTAAAATTGATTTGTAAGGAGAAACTACAAATATTAAAGTACACAATGATAATAATACATATAGGTAGTTATAAATTGTAAATTATAATCCATATCATAATCAGTAAGAACGTTTAGTAATATTATGTTCGAAAATTCTGATAACAGTATATACAATGTATAATTATATATTATACATATTTAAGCTTAATTATCGAATAATTATTTTACTATTTAAAAAGTCAGAATTGCATCAGAATTATTTCTTTTATGAAATATTTAGTGTTACCTATAATATTATTGTTATCTGTTCTATACAATTATTAGTTTTGAAAAAAAATGTTTAAAATTAAAAACTTACAAGTTTAGATGCGATATTATATCCGATTCGAATTGAATGGAACTAAAAGATTCAATGTACTTTCTAAATTGAAAGTTGCAACTCGTACAAAGGGTTATTTTGTCAAAATTTGATACAACGAATTACATACAAGTTTTGGTTTTTGAATTGTACACTTTTTTCGACAATAATAAATAATGACACTCATCGATGTCGTCCCCCTTATGAAATTATATTCAATTATTCAGCATACGTGCGTCGTGCGTGTTCATTCTATCCAAAAACATAGTTCACCTATTTGCTAAAAATAATATTACTGTCGTTTTCAGGACGCTGTTCCTGCGAGGGTTAAAGGAATCCACATCGTCAACCAACCGATTCTGTTCAACGTCGTCTTCAACTTCTTCAAACCATTCCTGAGGGAAAAACTGCGGTCGAGGGTGAGCTTCCACATTTTTAGTTTTTTTTTGGGGGGGGGGGGGGTTGGCGGAGAATAATTTTACTCTCAGGGATGAGTGTTTTCGGGTGCCATCATCCCTAAAAACTAATCTCTAAACTACTTATACTATAATAAATTAAAATAAAATATTATTAAATGGTTACAGATCGTCTTACACGGTACCGACCGGGAGTCTTTGCACAAACACCTATACCAACCATGTCTACCAGAATGCTACGGCGGCACGTTGGACGTACCTCGTGTTACTGGACCTCAGTGGCATGAACTACTGGTAACAGTAGAAAAAGAATTTGGCGGTACGTATACAATCACAAAATATAATATGCGTATTATACGGATATGGGTAGTTATTAATATTAGTACATATTATTAATAATTTAAAATACATTTACATAATAGAATACATATCATACGTGTAAAATATGAGGCAAGTTCGTTGGAGAAGATTATATTCCAAACTCTAGTGAACGATCGATATAATATAGTTTCTTCCCCACATCAAGGTCTGCATTTTTTTATCCCTCCGATATTAATATTAATTTAAAAAGTTCAAACCTATATAGTCAATTATTTATACAGCATACGACTTGCTCTTTTTATCCCACTGCAATAATTCTACCATTGATGTTTTGAAATGTTTGAGAAATTATATCTGTAGTGCAGTAAAGGCCGATTTCACATTTTGACGAAATTGAGTTTATATTTTGAATAATTTTTATAAAAAATGTGGGTACTTACCTATTTTTTGATATTAAATTTCCAATGAAATATTCTTTTTTTGCATTAGCTCTTGTTACACCAAGCCAGTAGATATCTAAAACGTACATAATTATATTATACACGTATGTCATAGTATCTATTGGTACATGTTTATTTATTTGGACTCAATTATTTAAGGTTTCTAATACAATAGACGACCCACATAACGTGATATTGACTTTCATAAATATTATTTTTCAGTTTTAAATAATTACGGTTATGGAAAATGATTCCAGCCAACGGCGTCCAGTAATATCGTCAAAGACAAAATGAAGCCTTCCACGAGTCTTCGATAATTTAAAAAACAAAAAAAAATATTTTATTATTTTGGTGTCTGTCGATCGTTTATATAGAAACCCCTTATTTTTATTCAATCAAACAAATAAATTATTTTAGTTTTAAGGTTATTTTTAGCCATGTCAATGATTTCCAACTTATTAGTACTTCTAATATAGTAAGTATACATATAGGTAACATTGTAGAAATGGAGTATGTTAAACAATGTACCTAATCGTATACCTTATTCTTAGGTGTATAAGTTATTTATTCTTTAATTATATTATTATATTTAATAAAGACAATTTTACTTTTTTATTATCCATTTACTTGTGATACCTATTATTTGTTATATTGAAATATCGAAGTTCACTCGATTTTGTAAGAGAAAAAATCTTAAATATATATGCGAAAATAATTTAAATACCATTGTAATTATTCGAGTTTAACAGTGCAATTTTTTTTATATTTATTAAACAGTTTTATTCTCTGTGTGGTTCTAGGAATTATTATTCTATTAAATGCTAATTTCTAAAACAAGTGTACTATATATTATTATTTATTTATAAACTGTAATTACCTAAACAGTGTATAGGTCTGCAGTATGTAGTAATATAATATTGTAAGTGTTAATTTAGATTGCTAGTGAATTTTTGCGAATGAAGTCATAAAATAGTAAGATGTTTTAATCATTGAGGGTGATTTTTGATAGGAAATTAATATCTAGTTGATATTTTGGGGAGGGGGTCAGAGTAAAACAGTGACAGTAATTGAAAAAATATTATGAAAAACTAGAATACTTACGCAGGAACAGTTTTTGAAATCAGGGACTTGGGATTGTTATTGACAATATAAATTGTCTATGTATTAATATTTTATAGAAATAACATAATTTTAAAAATATTTAGGCTTTTTTATAATAGTCTATAAGAATATGAATTGTTTTATTATTTTCTGATTGATGCTGATAAAATGTTTGCTTGGAAGTCAAGTAGCCTGCAAGTATAAAACAATAGGTTCAAGTGGTTCAACATTAGTTGGTCTATCAACAATTTAAAAAAAAAGCTGGTAAATGGATGTCGCTTTGCTGTACATATTAGATGTCTAAGAAGTTACAGTAATGGATGGTATTAAATTTGAAATCAATAATATAAAATCATTGAATACGAAAAACGATTCAGAGCGGAGACGGTATGTAGCTTAGGATATTTTATATGATCATTACATAATATTAATATGGTAGCCGGCAAGTTGAATTAATATTATTCTTAAATCTTCAGCAATATTGGAAAAATATTAATATACCTATGTAAAATTGGGTGGTTTTGGAACCGAATTACAGCAAAATGATAAACGTTATTCTTTGTGTTAATATGCAGTTTTGTCCAAATTTGAACTTAAAATGTCTGTAAAAATAACTGTTTTCATATATTTTTTAGATTTCTTACTTACGGAAAACACTGATTAAGTGGAACCTTGTTTTAAATTTTCTTAGCTATAAAAATTGAAAATTTTATACATTTTTAACTACAAAATCATTTTCAATTTTCGATTTGATAAATATTGTCAAGATTTGAACTTAAAATGCTTATATAAGAAAATCGTGCCTATTTTTTTAAAATATTTTTCGACTACTGTTGTAACAAGTTACCAAGAGTCTTGTATTAAATTTTCGTGCTTTTCGACCCAACCAATAACATTTTATTGAGATTTATTGAACAAAAATTTAAAAAAAAAAAATTGAAAATGTCCGTCAACAGCTTATAACCAGTTGAAATATTTTGAAAATTTTTCAGATATTTGAATTGATAAAATAAACATTTGGTGTAAATTTCAAGTGTCTACAGTAATTTGTTATTGAATCACAACAAAATAAGAAAATTGCTACAAGAGAAATCGAGTGAATATCTATTATAAAAATTTCAACTTTAAACTCTCATAAAAATTTTAATTGATTTTCCGGGAGAAATTTTTTTTTAGATAAAGGCAGACAAACATGTAAAGAATATTGAATTACATTTTTAAATCTTAGATAAAAAAAGAAAAAATGTTATGAATTTCTAACTAAATATAATTTTAAAACTATTGTGGATTTACGCTCAAAAATTGTTTTAATTTCTATTTATCAACAACTTACAAGGAATCTTGTATTACATTTGCAAGTTTTTTGACAGAGCGAACATTTTTTTATCGACTTTACTTTAAAAAAAAAACAAATTATTACAGAAAATTTCATATGCCTATAAAGTATAAATAGATTTCAACACAAATCAAAATATTTTGAAAATTGTATGATGTATATAAAATGCTAACACGAATATTCGGTTATTTGATGCTATGATTGAATTTAAATTGAACACATCCATTACACTATTACAATTACCCACCCTAGTACCATACTATAAATAGCAGAGCGATACCCAGTACTAATCCACTTGTTTTCATTTAATAATGCATTTTTTTAAATTATGATTTTTGGAGTTTTTGGATATATACGTATTACTAGGGAACGGATTTATATGCAATAAAAATACAAAAATATGTACATATATACGGAAGTATGATTTATAAGATATGTGCTAGCCAAAATAGGCCATTCTCGACTAACTCACATTTACCTTATCAAAAAGGAACCTGCACCAATATGTGATACCTGAAACGAAGCTTTAACAATAGAACACATTGTCATCACCTGCCCCAAATTCACCGAAGCTCGCAAGATATTCCAGAATCCTGTTTCACTTCACCAAGCCTTCAATCAGTTTATTCTTCACTAACATAAAATCAAACCACCCATTGTAAATACCCTTTCATGTAAAATGTACCAAATGTATTATATGTAAAATCGCTCTCCCTTGTTACTCTTTAAACAATTGTAGGCTAAAAATCTTTGTTGTTGAAGCCTTAATAAACTTTATAAAAAAAAAAAAAATATGTGCTAAAAACATCCAAATATGTGGGGAAAAAATGTAATTAAAGTTAAAAAAAAATACAATTAAAATTATTGAAATTATTGAAATTATTAAATTATCAAAATGATTGATTGCATTGAATTATTACAATTTCTTTTAAATGTTCGAATGTTAAATGTCGCCTATTAGGTCTCAAAATATTTTTAAAACGTCTAAATGATCGTTCCACATCAACCGATGTAATTTGAGCATATTTGAAGGGCATAATATCAGAAGGCGATAATTCCAATTTTTTAGAAGTGTGTCTACCACTCATTATGTCATTGATTGTTTTAAAATCAATATAGCCTGGATTAACTGCATGCATTTTCTTTTTTACAACATCTCCTATTGGTCCACTTACGAGTTTTAATATTTCAATCGCTGATTCAACAATTTGCATACTATCATTTAAGGACATATTTTTTGTTTCTAATTTTGTAATTGTATGTGCAATAAAACTAAAATTCACTGAGATGAAAATTCAATTATTTTTCAATGTTTCATTTTGCATAATATTTTGAGCTTTTCCAATAGCGAAGAAGTTTCTGGATCTAATTTTGAAATAATTTCTTGTATTTTCGAAAAGTTTTCACAATAATATTGAGCAGCTAGCAACCATGTGCCTCATCTGGTAATTATGGGGTAGAGAAAGATCAGGGTATAATTCTTTAAAAATTGTGGTACGACTAGGAGCTTTCAAAACAATCTTTTTACATTAGCTATGAGAGAATCGACGATACGGTATTCAGCTCTGATTGTCTCTGCCACACGATGAAGACCATGCGCTAAACATGTAAGATGTATTAGTTTTGGATAAAAAATATTTAATGCTTTCCCTGCCTTCACCATATAAGGAGTTGCATCACTAACGATTAACGAACAAAAGTACATTTTCGTGTTTTACTCCACTTGGCCAAAGTAAACTCATAGAGTCATTAAACAGTTTTGATATTGTCTGATTATTTGATTTTTCAAGTTTTTCACAGTTAAGTAGTATTGAATTAGTAGGCTCATCGCATAATTTGCCTATAACTACATTCCCAATGTACCTCCCTCCTACATCTGTCGTTTCATCGATGGACAGCCAAATGGGCCCATCTTGAATCTCACCTCGAATTGAAGAAAGTTTTTCTAGATAAATATCTCGAATATTGTTTTTTCGCAATGTGCTTTCATCTAGAATATTTTGACCAGTATATTTTTCCAAAAACATTTTGAAATCAGGATTTTGTAATTTAAATAATGGTATATCTGAACGAATTAGTGCAAGACAAAGGTCAGTATAAAAAACAGACTTACTATTACTAGATGTAGGTGTCGACGAGTAAAAGCTTTGTTTAAATTGTTCTTTACGTTGTAGGCTTTCTTTATGTTTTCGTGTTGCAATGTGTTGTATAACTAAAGACCGCTGAGCTGTTGATACTGGTTTTCACACGCGACACACAGTAGAACTTGACCATCGTTTTTAAATGTCTCGTGTGGAAATTCATTAACGTACTGACAAACTTTGGACGAAATAGTTTTACTAATTTTTGGCATTTTTGAAATTTGTGTAGGTACGTACGATTACGATTACAACCAAACACTAACTATAAAAACCTACTGCTATCGCCTGTCAACCAGTCTGCTATCGATCGTCAATCGTATATAAATGTATACTATATTAAGATATATATTATATTGTAGTGGTCCAGCCCATAGATCGTGGTGTATAAGACAAGAGAAGATGAGGTGTAAATAATTCTAAGTCAATTGTAGAATATTATGAACATAGACTTTATTTTGACATGTAAAACTGATAGAATATTTTTGGTACACTGAAATTTGTCAGAGAGTCGACTGGCGTGAAGGTGCTCGTACTGGCTCTGGTAAATCACGTCTGAATATCGGGTGGATGGGTCCCTGTTTTATAGGCCTACTCTCCACTCTTCTCCTAGCGATGAGATAGCCCTGACCCCGTTTACTATTGCACGTGTGCGTGGTCGTGGGTTTCCAGGAAACGGTTGCCCGGTCGTGTCGGTCGAGAGATTAGAGTAAAGATATAGTAAAATTATATTTTAATATTTTTATAGATGTTTCAAGTTTTAACTCTTTTCATTTATATTTTCGCAACGCACTTTCGGTAGTCGGATTCTCAGAACTACGCACTCGATTTCTTATTGCGTCGTTGTTCTTAAATCCCCGAGGTCGACAACTTCCCAATGTGAATAATCTCATATTATGTCCCCCTCGCTATTTAAGCCTTTAAAATATATACGTATATGGCGGGACGTCAGTACATTGTACATAGTAATATCTATATGAAAATTATAAGATAACGACTATAAAAACTACTAAATATTTGCTCCACGGCGTGGATCGTCACAGTTCA